GAATTTTATAGGATTAAATGTTGAAAGTTTAATTAAATCAATTGGAAAATATAAATATTATTTAAATTTACGAAAAAAATACTTATCACAAACAAATATCAGACGATTTAATTGCATCTTAACAAGTCCTTTATTGGCTATGTCAGTAATATCTAATTTTTACTTCTTCGTTGGAGAAGAAATTGGAAATATTTACATCTATAGAATATTACATGGTACCATTTTATTGTAAATTAAAATATTTAAAAATATTGTATTTTAAAATGAACAAATTCATCACACAAATTTTTTGTGGATTTCAGAGATATTTATTTTTAATTTTTATATAATTTTTTATTACAGATGCATGGTATAACACATTTGATTTACTCTTCTTCCTTTATTGCTGTTGTCAAGTTTCTACAGATATAAAAAATTGGGAATTACAAAAATATTCGAAATAGAGACTTCTACACTAGAGTATAAAATATTTTGAGAAAATGTATTTTATTCATAATTATATTATCAAATAATTTTTAAATAGTTTATTATTTAAGTACAAAATGAGTATAAAAATACAATACATAACTAAAATTATTTTTCACATTAACATGTATTATAAACCTTTAGCATTTATTACAAATGATAATAAAAAATTAGTACAAAGTTATGTGTGAATATTTTTTATATAATCGCTATTATATTTATTTTATATTAATAATCAACTGTATAATACGTACAAGGCACATTATATTTCAAATATATAAATGTTTGCAAAAATAATTTTTAAATTTTATTTTTATATTTTATATAATATTAATCAATTTATTTGTTTACATATTTCTACAGAGTTACAATAAATGTTCCTATCTTATTTATGTACTTTAAGACATACACATTTATATTTTTGAAACCTTTATATATCTTAATGTTATAAGACTTAATGTAATAAAGTCTAAAACTTTTATAATTATAATAGTAGACATGCTGTATTAAAATATATTTTTCTTAGAAAAATTTACTTGTACTTCATTATTAGAAAAAAAAAATGATACAGATTTTATGTATTTAACAATATTAAGTTTTAAGCAATAAAATGTTTGAAATTGTTACTTAAGACTATTGACTTTTAGGTAATTTAACATTTGCATTTATAATCGTTTCAATAAATAAAAATTTTGAAAAGTCATCTACATATAATGTTTCAAACTTAATATGTCTATTGTAAATGTGTTTTATAAATTATATCCCTAGTGCTTCTTCTTTGCAACAAAATGCTACAATATAAATTATTAAACTAATTTCTGTAAATATATTTAATATTCTATGTTATTTCTTAAACATAATCATTAATATCTACAAATTGTTTATATATTTATATATTTTTTATAAGAAAATGTCAGAAATGTAATGCCAAAAATCCTTAAATTTTTATGGAAGACATTTTTGAGCGATAATTGAAAACAGAAGTATTTCGGAATATTTAAAAATAACATTGAAATTATACACTGTTTATACACAGTGATACAGTTTGTGACAAAAACATAATTTGTATATGTATAAACCAGTATGCTACAAAAAGAAATAATCGTTTGAAACAAATATAAAACATGATAAGCAATACTTCTGTAACACATTTATACAAAATATATGAAAACTCAAAAAATCACTGATACTTCAAATTTCTGTTTTGCTAAGCAAATTATGAATTTGTACTAAACTTTCCAATATTTGGCACACTAACAAAATTATTGTTATTAAGTACCTATATTTCGTATTTATATACTTAACTAATAACTTTAGCTAATTAATTTGTTAATATATACATATAAGATTGTGATAAAGAATTGTTTTCGATTTTAATACCTGGAATGCTTAAGAAAGATTTTGTAACATAATTTGTTTTTGGAAATAATTAGTTATATACTGAACAACTTTAAAAATAACTTTATTTCACTTGAAAACAATAAATGCATTTTTATTCACTTTTTTAACATTATTATATATCAAAGCTATATTAATACTGTATTTCACACGACTAAAATCATGTAAAAATATGTTATTAAATTTATTCTTTTTTGCAGTATTATTTTTGTATATATTGAAATCTCTTTCTCCAGATAATAAAAGATTATTAAATCTACATTTCTTCTAATATTTACATATGCAGAAACTCAAAGTTTTATTTTAGTATCATGTATACTACAAATGTATTTTTATTAAAACTATTTCTATAGAAATTGACATATTTGATTTAGAAAAAATTTAAGAACTTAAGTTATATAAATTTTACTTACTTTTTTCAAATGTTTGTTTTTTAATTTCATTATTGGCAGTGTTATTTTCATCTATTTTAAAGACATTGTTTTGTAATGTATTATTAGCTAATAATAAAATTGTATTTTGATTACCATTTTGCTTTACATTAATTGCTTGCATATGTTTATTCAAAAATGTAAACTTTTTATTTTTATTTAATTGTATTTTTGATTGAGTTTGTGGAAATATATTGATGCATTTATTTTGTACTATTATACTAGTTAATGGTTCATGATGAATGTATAAACATTGTTCAGCTTGATTTAATAATAATTTATCTTTTTCAGAAACATAATTTGAAGATGTAATTGCTCGATTCTTTATTAAATTTGCAATAACTGCTTGATAATTACCTAATTTTTTGTCTTCATGTAATAGACAATCTTTATTTTGATTTATTATGATATCTGCACTCGTTGTTTTATTAGTAATTTGATTAATTTCTTGCAAGGTATTTATATCTATTAAATCTTCTGACACAGCTACTTCATGGCTTTCCATTTCTTGAAGAGACTTACAATTGAGGGTAGTAATATCATTGTTTCCTTTTTCATATTTTATATGTTCCTGAGTGAAGATTATATGTTTATTGCTATCTTCTTTCTTTGTTTTAACATGCCTATTTACTTGTATTAATTTTGTTTGTTCACTTATAGAATTATTGGAGTCATCATTAAAATAATTTTCTGTTCCATTAATTATTTGTATGGGATTTTTAATTTGATGTTCTGAAAATTTGAAGTTCTCTTCTTCTGTATCATCAACTAAGTTGCTATATTCTACTTTGATATATGATGGTGTTTCATTTATATTGTGATAAATTATTTCAGGTTGACACGCGTTATCTTGACATATAATTTGATTATTTCCATCTTTAATTATTTCTAACTTAATATAAGAAGCACTTTGCAACTGTGGCGATTTATCTTGCACTTTATCTGCATATTCATCTGGTAAAATATTTTCATCTCTGTTAGAAATTCTATTTTCTATAGGTAATTCAGTCTCTACAGATTCAGTCTTATTTAAATGAGATTCCGAACAAACCTCATAAGTTTCAAAACAATTTTTAATAATTTGTATTGTATCACTTGATTCCCAATTTTTATCACTACCAATAGAATCATTATTTATAATGTATTCCTCAGTTGCAGTATTTTGCAGTTGATCATTATCATTTTGACAATTTATTATTGTTTTTGTTGCAATTACACCCTCATCTATTATATGATCTTTATTTGCGTTATTCTTTTTTTTCCTGTTGGTACGAACTTTCTGAAAATCTTCTTCTGAAAGATATAACAACTCTCCAGTAGTTGTTAGAACTTTTCCATGCCTCGTTTTTAAATGTCGTTTGTAAGTATTTCTAGTTTTAAATCTGAATAACATAATATTTTTTTTTGAAGAAAGAATTGTATATTTTATGTACTCTAAGTATCGACAATGTATTATAGTCTACATTTTGCTTACCGTTGTCCACAATCATCGCATCCGAATGGTGCTTCTCCGGTATGTCTACGTCGATGTTCTCTAAAGTGCGATGGATGTCTAAATTTTTTTCCACAGTCAGCACATGTGAATCGCGTTTGATTTTGATGAATTAGCATGTGGTATTTTAAGCTATGCCTTCTTGTAAAAACTGCTCTACATATACGACATTCATATGGTTTTATTCCAGCATGACTGCGATAGTGAGACACCAATGTTGTAGGTGCTGTAAAGCTTCGTGGTGGATTACAAATTCGACATTCAAGATTGCTACCTGTTGGATTTCCTTTTTTCTTTATACGATCCATAAAAGCTAATGCCATTTCTCTTTCCTCTTTACTAGTACCTATAAATTTTGCCTTTCCTTTGGGTTTACTAGTTATAATTTCTGTACTTTTCTCATCATTTTCAGCTGACCATGATATCCCTAAAAAATAAATTAAAATATTTACATTATATATAAATTTTATATAGTTATATAAATAGATAAATTTATATAAATAATACATGCATGTACAAAGGGTACTCAAATATAATAGATATTTTATATATTTTATACATTTACCTGGTACATAAATTGCTTCAGATTTCTGATTGATTTTTTCTGACATTTTCTTATTAATACGTGGATATTCTTTCATATGAACACTGTCAGTGCCAACAACCATAAGTACAATCTATAGGAAAAAAGAATTGTATCTAAAATTTATAAATTTTGTACTTATATTTTATATTTATACTTACATTATCATCTGTTGTATTTTCAAGAGAATTATTGAAGGATAGTGTTTCTTTCTTATTAGGAATTTCATCTTTCAAACGTTCAAAATAACTATGATCACCAAGAACTTTAAAATCCATTCTGTCTGTGTCTTTTTGTTCAGAATTATGTAACTTTTTAGAATTTTCTATTTTTTCAACATTTTTGATTTTATCTAATTCTTTAAAGGTAGAATCATTTAATAGAATATTTCTTAAATAATTTGTAGATTTTTCTGTAATAACATTCTTATTTTCTTTATTTAATGTTTCCTGTGGTTTTCGTGATTGTTGTAACCTGCTTTTTTTACTTTGAGGACTTGTTTTATAATTTTTATAACTTACTGACTTTGCAGTAAAAGTTTTATCTATAAAATATAATTTTTCTACTATGATCAACATATAATAACTTTTTCGTTCTTAAGCATAGATAAATATTATAATTTTTACTTACAGGCTTCTTTATTAGTTTTTAAGTATTCTAAATGTTCTGCTAAATGTGCCTTGATAGACATTCTTGCTCTTCCTTCACTTGCAAAACTAGTATATTTTTGACCACATCCAATAACAAGAGCACATGTATATGAGTATTGCCTTTTTAATTCATCACTTGTAAAAATAGAAAACTGTTTAACTAATTGTGATGCAGGCATAGATAAAAGCTGTGGCACATTAAAGAATAATTCATGAGCCTTTCTCTTCGCACAATTTGTTTTTGACTTGCATTGTGATGGTAATAATGATTTACTATGTTTTTTTTCTGAGTGCAATGTTTGAGATGCAACTTCTGCAAGCATATCTAATAACGCAGCTGGACTATCACTTCCCATCATACCTAAAAATATTCATTATTGCAAAATGAAATAATTTTATTATATTTCTAACAAATTTTATTTAATTTTTTCACTTCTTTATATCCATGAAAAATTAGTTTATATATATATTTCATAAAACAAATCAATTTATACAATAAAAATGAATAGCAATTAATTGAAGTATTAAACTTGTATTTTTTATTAATTAAGATGTAGTTATTCACATTATAAAACATTATAAAACACATAAATATATACAATAAGTTTTCAACTTCCTTTAAAAAGTTTAAATAATATGTCTTCATTTTATTTATTATGTTAAGTATTATCATTCATTCTACAACAATAAATATTGATTCTTATTAACATTGTGACATATGACAGTCTTTCAAAAAAACACTTAATATCGTTATATTACAAAAATAGTCAAAAATTATTCCGTTTTTAGTATACAAAATATATGTATGTATAATCAGAAAAATAATTTTCAGCTCTCTTATGTATGAAAATTAAATTGTTTTTCTAGCGTCATTCTAGCAGACGCCATAAGGACGCCCAGCAGACGGTTTTTCAATTCATCTTTACTATGTTCTTAATAAAGTGCATATTTTACTATTATTATTATTACATCTACGAGATGAAAATTTTAATTAGTTGAAATTAATAAACAAGTACCTCCGTTATATGAATTAGAAGTAAATTCATGATTTGTTTTGGTGTTCATTATGGCATTCGTATTCGCGGCGTGTCTTCATTCCACTGCCTTCTGTGCACAACAGGTTCCTTTTTGTTGCTTCCTTGTTTGCTTCCTTTCTTGTCAATCCTGAAAACAGTATTGCCAATCTGTAAAACGAATATTTTGTATATGCATGTGAAATATAGAACAAAAATCTTGTATTTATTTAGATACAATTTAAAATGTTATATTTCTAGAAATTAACTTTCACCTCATTTATATAACAAAGAATAATTAAAACATGCAAAATTTCTATTTTCTTATAATCATTTATAATTATATATATATAAATATATGTATACATACATACATATGAGCCTTTCATAGGCTAAAGTAATCAAATTTTTGAATTTTCTGAAATTTGCGTATGAAAGCACTCGATTTTTAATTTTTTAATTTTTGAAATTTTTATTTTTTGTTTCTTGAAGTTAATCGATTTGACAAATAAGCAACTCTTATATAGATAATATTGAATGTCGTGTAAAATAAAGTATAACAGCCTAGTTTTGAGTATATTTATATACGGTTTCTTTAGATACATATAGATTTCTCTATTAAAATATGTTTTTGAATAAATAATATTCAATTATAGCTATATAATATTGTTACTGTGATAAATTTTATTAATTTCATAAAAAGTCAAAAAATGACACAGATATTTTTATAAGTATGCAATTACAAATTGTGAATATGATTTTAATTATGTACTTAACTTAATATATTTCAGGATAATTTATTTATTATATGTTATTATTTCTTTATTATAATTAAATATACAAACTAAATGACTAGTGAGTATAAGATATGAATTTAACTGTGAAACTTAATAATGATCAAAAAATACTAAAATTTAAACTATTAATAAATAATACACTATATATAAAATAATATACATCTGTTAAAACTTAGACTAAAATTAAGGCAAAAGGAATACAAAGTTTTTGTAATATATTCTTAAATATTTTATTGCATTAACTAAAAAGTTTCTAACCTCTCATAAAATAGAGATATACACGTGCGTGCGTGTGTGTGTGTGTGTGTGTGTGTGTGTGTGTGTGTGCGCGCGCGCGCGCGTGTGTGTGTTAGTAATGTTTGTATTATAAAAAAAAATATAATACATACTAAGATTATTTGAACAGTTTATGTTTTCACTATGACTTTGCAAGTACTTCAGTATTCTTCTTGTTCATTTACATTTTCACGTAATTTATTACAACTATCAGTTGATTCGTTTTTTATTACATCAGTGTCAAATATATCTTTAATAATGTCTTGCTTTTTCTTCATGTGAGATGGTAAATCATAGTATACATTTTCTGTTATTTGTTTTTTAACTATTACACCATGTTTTTCATATTCTGGGTTTAAAAATTCAATATTTTCATTATCATCAATAGCTTTCATTGATGCTAGTAACTTCTCTTTGTTATAATTAGTTATTTTTGTTTTAACATTATTTTCAGTTGTAGTACTAACATCAGTCAGTATATCACGAACTAAATTATTATCAAGAGATTGGACATCATACGAAACCATATCAATACTTTCCAATTTTTTATCTAATTCTTGTTTATTTAATTTATTCTTTGTTTCTAAATTATAGTTTTGAAGAAATATATTTTTGCTTGTTATTCCTATTTCTGTTGTGTCTGCTCTGTTTGTTGTTGTTTTATCCAAATTCTTTGAAAAATTTAATAAGTTTTTCGTAGAAGATTTTCGTTGCGAATCATTAATAATAGAATCATTTATATGTGATATTTCTGATGTAATATCTACTGATTTTATGTTATTAGTTGTGAACAATATATTATGCTCAGGTTTAGAATATGTTTGTAATAATGATTCACTTTTAGGATCATCTTTGGTTATACTTTCATTACTATATTCTTGTACTTCAGATGCATTTTGTTCAAACACGTAGTTTTCTATATTTTCTGAATTTTTATAATCCATTTCAATACTTTTTATATCATATTGGGCATATATATTTTGCTCCTCTACATTTTTAGCTTGCATATGTACGTCATCAATTAAATTCTGATAAAGATTTTGTGATCCATTCAAAATATTTTTTGAAGAAGTTGTTAATTTTTCTATTTCTTTATCAGAATCATAATGAATTTGATTATTACAGACAGATGAAATTAAGTGAAGTGTATCATTTTGATGATTCATTGACAGATATTGTTTCAATGGCTGTTTTCGTATCTCAGATTCTAATTCTGAATCACTTCCATAAGAATTTTCTCTCTCCTTTACCAAAACTTTTAATTTATCTCTATATTTACAATTAGGAAATCTTAATTCCTTTGAATCTGAAGTGTCATCTGCACTACTAATTAATCTAAAAGATAATAAAATATGTTATAATTAAGTACATATATTATATAATATATACAAATAAATAATTAGTATAGGCAAGTAAAAAAGATATATTTTAAATTGTCCGAACCTTGTATGCAATTGTTTAGAGTTACTAGATACATTTACGTAATTATCTTTATCATTTTCATTTTCATTTTCACTTTCACTATCTTCAGATGAATCAACAAGTTCTTTCTCTAATAATTTATTAAAATTATGATATTTTCGATTGTTATACATTTTTCTAAATTTATTTCCACTTATTTGATATTTCTGAATTTCTTTTTGTTGTTGTTCTAATTGTTTTGAATTTTCATTTATCGGGCTGTCTAATTCTTTAGATTGTTCTTCCGGATTATTTAACATATTTTTGTATGGTGATTTTTGAAGACGATACCTTCGTACTTGTTCTAAATTTGTCATTGTTTCAGATTTTGTACAATCTGCAGTTTGATTTGGATTTATCATTTCACCTATTTTGATATTTTTATCATTTAACTCAGATGTATGAAGCAAAGGCTAAAAGTTATCAAAACAAATTGAATAAAAATTGAAGAAAATATAAATATTGAAAAATCATGTAATATAGTTAATCTTTACCAAACTGTATTTTTGAACATCTGTTTGCCACTTTTTGTTTTTATCTGATAATTTTAATGGATTTGATGAGCTAAAAGGAGTTATTGAAAAAGTGTGAAAAAAATGATTAGTTTAGTATTATGTTTTTCACATACCTAATATCTCTTAAGTTTGTAAGAGATTGTGTGCCAAAACGTCGGTTTTTATCAGGAAGCAATAATTGTCCACTATAATATAATCTTCGTTCTCTGTTGTCTAATAAATTTTCTAAAGTTTTTAATTTTTCTGTTTTTTCATTTAAATATTTTTGGGTTTCTTTTCGCTTAGAAATTTCTAGATGTAATTGCTGTTTTAAACTTTTAGTTTCAAGAGCCAGTTTTTTATGTAGTGTCTAATAAAATAATTGAGTACATAAATATTATATAACAAATTATATGCAAATATTAAGTTACCTGTATAGTATCTTGTTGTTGTTGTATTCTATGATTTAAATCAGAAACTTCTAATTGTAATTTTTCCCTCTCTCCCAAATTACGGTCTTTACTAAGTTGTAATAAATGTTTATTTTGTGACTAAAAAATAGCAAGCAACTATTGAGTATTATTCTGTATTTGAAAATATTATATTAATATTTACCTGTAACTGTTGAAGCTCATTTTGCTTTTCTTTTAATAAATCACATGTTTCCTTTTGTAAAGTTTTTAACCTTTTGTACTTTGTCTGAAGTACTCTCAATTCTTCATGATGAGAATTAATAATTCGTGGAAGTTCAGCATTTGTTCCTTCATAACGTTTTAATGCAGAATCTTGTCTCTTCTGTAATGCTTTCAATAATTTGTTTTCATTTGCTAATTCCTGTGAAAATATATAATTGCATTGAGTATGCCTGTAATTAACATATAATTGTAATGTATACTTGAATTTCAGAACAATTTAAATTTACATGGTACTATATTTAATGTTATTACATTTAATTGATAGTGTGCATCAGCCAACTGATTTTGCAATTCTTTAATGCGCAACATTTTTGCAGATACAACTCCCTGTTCAATACTATTTTTTTTAAGCTTCGATTGTTCTAAAGAAGAATGATGTTGAACATTACTTTGATATGGCTGTCCTGTATGTTGAATGTTAATATTAAAAGACTGTTCTATATATTCACAGATTGTATATATTCAAATGTTGTTAATTTCTAATGTTAAGAACAATGACAATAATGAAATTGACGTTTATATTAGATTAAATTGAAAATATACAAAAACTGGTATATGTGCTATAAGAAAAAGGTTAAATCTTTTAATAATAGGATAGCATAACAAAGAATAAACATTGAAAAATGAAGTATCAAATTAATTCTTACTGAAATTTTAATACAAACCAAGTAAAGGGTGTAAATTCTTTTTCTTAGATGAAAAATATGCTACATTTTTGTCAGATGAATTAACTTTTGTTTCCACTGATGGTCTTCCTAAGTTAGAATTTTGTTTTCTGTAAATTATATGTACGATTTTTAAGAATTCATAGTAGTAAATACTTTCTATTCATAGTAGAAGTATATCAAGATACAGTTTAAAAATACAATAAAAACAAAATTTACAGATATAATACATATTAAGAAAATTAAATGAAATAAAGTGGATTAAGTTCTAAAACAATACATATATAATACAACTAACTGGAATATTTGTTATAAATATTTTATATATTTTATATAAATATGTTATCATTTTTGAAAATAATCATTTTGAAGTCTACTGGCTTTAAATATTCTTATAATAATATGAAATATTTACTTTAATTTCTGGCTAAACATATATTATTGCAATATCTAAAATAAAAATTCTAAAAATATATAAGTGAATATACTTATGAATTGTTGAGTACTGTGATTACCTATTGAGATTCTTATAGGCATTGAAGTGTACTACAGGTAATGTAGGAACTTCAGTTTGCATTTTTTATTTGCAAATTCTACATCACAACTAGCATAGTTTCGTATAAACACAAATTATTATTTTATTTTTCAAACTTATTGAAGACTAATCAGCTTCCATAGTTGTTTTTAACTGGTCTCCAAGGTAACAAATGCACAACATTTCCCTAATCAATGTTGTTTGAAATTGTACATAATTAAAGAACTATGATTAAATAACAATATATAAATATATATTTTATAAGTGATAAATGAAAATGAAAGTATATATGTAAAAGGTTTTTCATTTTGATTTTACTTAAAAATATTTATAAATAGTATGAGAGTATTTTCTGTTAATTTTCCATATGCATATAATAAAAAAGTATAATAATCTTTATTTATTTTTTATTTTAACTTTTTTATCATAATCTTCAAACGTGTAATTATATTTCAAAGCTGTAATCAGAGACATTTAATTTTTGGCAGTTATTTACTGCTACATATAATGCACATACATTACTAATTATTAGTTACAATTATTAATTAATTACTAATTATTAGTTATATTAGTTACAAATTTTTTATTTATACAGATAGTTTTAAACATATTTAGATAGAAATAAATGAAATTATTATTAATGATTTTCCTAATTTATTGTTACTAGTTGAGTTTATAATATACAATAATACAATAAATAATAATTGTTTAAATTTCAGTGATTTTAATTCTATATTAAAACTGGGTTGAGACAATTAGGTAGATTTATTTTATCAAATCAACTTGTTTTTAAATATTTTTCAAATTGTTTTATTAAATTGTGCCAAATGTGAAACATTACCTAAATAAAAACCTTTCTTAGCTCAGAATATTTTCTATATGTTTAAAATATAGATTTATTATTTCAAATTCAAAATTGTACAGATATTATTACCTGTGTATTTTACAATTTGTCTCAAACTCCTGGAGTTCTACAGTTATCTTTTTCTTGAGGATGTTTAAGTATTCCTATATGTTGTGTTTCCCATAATTTGCTGTATAAAGAATTTGGCATAGCTAATAAAGAATCATGAGTTCCTCTGTCAATTAAATTACCATTATCTAATACTAAAATTTCATCTGAATCCATAACGGTAGATAATCGATGGGCTATAACAATAGAAGTCCGACCAGCGGTTGCTCTGCGTAATGCTTCAAGAATATTCTGTAAATATTATATCATGGTTAAATATATGTAGTATATCATGGTTAAATATATGTAACATTTAATATATGATAGAAACGAACATGTTCTGTAATAGAATCTAAAGATGATGTGGCTTCATCAAAAATTAATATTGGACTGTTTTTTAAAATCGCTCTAGCAATTGCTACTCGCTGCTTTTCACCACCACTTAATTTTAAACCACGTTCTCCAACAGGTGTATCGTATCCTTTTGGCCATTTAAGTATAGAATTGTGCAAATTTGCCATTTTGGCAGCTTCAAAAACATCCTCCTTAGATTTTGATAAATTACCATAATGCAAATTATAAAAGATACTTTCATGAAAAAGGACAGTATCCTAAAATTGTTTATTGATTTTAATATTACAAGTATATATTACTGACATATTTTTTAATCTTATTACCTGAGGGACAATAGCTATAGATTTTCTTAAAGTATCTAAATCAATATCTTGAATATTATGTCCATTTATATAAACACCTCCAGATTGTGGTTCAAAAAATCGATACAATAATCTCACTAATGTAGTTTTACTAAAAAGCATGTATAATTAAATAATATTTTACTTTTATATAAATTATGTACATTACACTCCACACTTACCCACAACCAGATCCTCCAACAATAGCAATCTTTTTACCACTTGGAATGGTAAAATTAATATTTTTAAAAATAGGCTTCCCTTCAACATATTGAAAGCTAATATTTTTGAATTCAATATCTGAATTCTTTGAATTTATATTAAACTGCATTGCATTTTCCTTAGACTGGAAATGTATTGCAAAATGTATTTAATTATTTATATGTTCATAAAATCTTAATCTTGTTAAAATGAAATATAAGTACCTTAATTGCAGTATCCATTGTCATTAAAGTAAACATAGTTTGCATATCTATAAGAGCTTGTCTAACTTCACGATATACAGAGCCCAAAAATCCTAAAGGAACTGACAATTGGAATAAAAGTCCATTGACCATTACTAAATCTCCTACTGTCATGGTTCCTACATTCATTTCATTTAAAAATAATATCAATATTTATACTTTACATTATAGACATTTTAAACATTAAAAAATTACCCTCTATAATACTATTAGATGCTAGTACCATTATCAAACTTAGAGCACCACTAAATATAGCGTTTTGTCCAAAATTTAGCATTGCTAAACTTGTACTGGTTTTAAGTGATGCAATTTCATATTTTTTTAATGATTCATCATATCTTTCAGCTTCAAATTTTTCATTATTAAAATACTAACAGAAAAGATGTAATAATAAATTATTTATATAATAAAAATGTTAAAATTGTATCGAAGTATAATTATCGCAATTGCAAAAATAAATAAATTATGAAATGTACCTTTACTGTTTCATAATTGATAAGTGAATCTATTGCTTTATTGCTTGCTTCATTTTCTGCTTGATTCATAAAGATTCTAAATTTTGTTCGCCACTGAGTAATAGCTAATGTGAATAAAGTATAAAATCCGACGCAGCTAAGAGCAATACTTGCATATTCTCCTCCACATTTTAAATATAATACTGTACTGACTAATGATAATTCGAAGACAGTGGGTATAACATTAAATACCATAGCATTTAATATAAAATTTATACCACGGCTTCCTCTATCTATTGTCTATAATAATTTGAAGTGAATAAATATTAACTCCAAATAATAAATATGTAAAAACAATGTTAAAATAAAATAATTTATTTTACTTTGGATAGTGCTCCAGTTTGTCTACCTAGGTGAAAAGTCATATCTAGATTATGTAAATGTAAAAATACATTTTTGGCTATTTTACGAATAGAATGTTGAGCAACTTTTGCAAATACTGCATTTCGCAATTCACTAAATCCAGCTGCACCAGCACGTGCAATTCCATCTATTATAATAATGTTAATATAAAATATATACAGTTAATAATTAGTAAAGTAAAGTATTCATTCTATAATAATAATAACTTATACAATTTACATACATCCAATAAGTAATGATGTTGCTACAGTTGCAACTGTTTCTGGTGCAGATCCCATACTTAGCATGGCATTACCAGTAGTTGCTATATGTTGAGTATTAAGTGTATCTATTGCATATTTAAAAATAAAAGGAACACCAACACTTAAAACTTTTGCACCAATAAGTAAACCAACAGCCATTTTAACTCTTTTTCGGATTTCTGGATCATCCTATAAACAGATATATTTATATTATTATAATATTAACTAAATATTTAAGATAACTTACTTTTGGCCAAATATATCTAAGCATTGCTTTAATCATATTTGTAGCTTTAACTGATTCTCCTTCTTGGAAGTCAATACTTTCACGGCTTAAACTAGATACACCAGGATGAAAACAATCTCTTTTTTGTTGTCCTGACTTCCCTCCAATAAATCCAGAAATTATTGATGGAAATTTAACTGAAGTTACAATAGATTTTGATTGAACCATAGTCTTTTTTTTCTGTATACGATCAATGACATTTCCACTGCAACACTAGAAGAATAATAAAAAATATTTAAGTACATATTTATATACTTTATATTAATATAAGTATCAATAATAAATATTATTAAACACTTTTACTTTTCTTTTAAATAATATTAATAATTTGTTAAATACAGAAATATTTAATTTAAAATAAAAATAGATGAAATTATTATTTTAAATAGTGGAAAAGTAAACAAAATTTAATGAATAGTATTAATATTTTTA